ACATATCTGAGGTATTTTACCTCTGTTACACAAATACTAATAAGGTGATACAAGAATATAAATATACTATACTAAAAATAAATAAGATAATACATATATGAAATACTAATATAATAATAAAATAATAATAATAAAATATGTTATAATAAAAATATATATAAATATAAAAAATAAAGAAACAGGGTTAACAACGTGATCTAGTGGTCTTATACATGTATTCATATTTCTCAAAATCTTTTGTCTTTCTTTCATTTATTTCTTTTTATTTTTTTGCAATTGGACAATTCAATACCAAATACTTTTCTGCATGACATCTATAACATGTTTTTATTTTTATATTCATTATTTTAATCATATATTCTTTTGCTTTCCATATTTGTCCTATAAGTTTCCTTTTTTCTTCTTCACTTTCTAATGTTACAATTGCCATTTTTTTCTTTTTCCTATATAGATTTTGAAAGAAATAATATGTTTTTGCTCCTATTTGTGCTATGATCACATGTAACTCATGTGGTAATATATCAGATGATAAATTAATTAATTTAACTACATGCATACTTTTATTTTTTAATTTTATAAATGTCATACTTGAGATTGACACCCTGTATAATTCTTTTCCTACTGTTTGTAACCATTCAGATAAAATTTATCCTTAAATATTAGGATTATCAAAATATGCAATTGTTGATAATCACATATCTCTTGTGGACATTGTATATAAAATTACTTTTTCAAATTTGTGATTAAGCATGTATTTGAATTCTTGTTCACATATGCTTACAGGAATATTTCAAAATTTAACTCCTTTTTCCTTATTGTTATTTCTATTTTAAGTTATTGTAATTCTAACAAGTTTAGATTTATCATTTCCATTTTCTCATCAATTTCCATTTTACATACCTTTTCCATATCTTCTTTTTTTCAAAATAAATTATAATATATAGTTTGTGGTCATCTCTATTTTTTTTAGTTCTGATTATAATAATATTTTTGTCTAATGCTGAAGTAATATTTTGAATTTTCTCCTCTAAATTTTTTCCCTTAACTACTGATACTTTTATTCAGGTTTTATCTTTTTTCAATTTTGCCATTTTTCTCCACTCTTCATGTTCACTCTGGAAGCTGTTTACTGTTACCACTGTCTCACTGTCACTAGCCTCTT